CCGCCAATCAGGTGGAGGGCCCTTTAAATCTTGCAAGAGGGGAGGGAGAGGAGCAGCCATTGGCTGAAAGCCTGAATGGAGTTCAAGCACGCAGGGCCAGTCTCCACTGGCTGGAAGTGCTTAAAGGGAATGCTTGGAGACTGGGCGCGTGGGGCCAGTCCCTGCTGCTTAGAGACCAGGCACGCAGGGCCAGTCCCTGCTGGCTGGAAGCACTTAAAGGAACCCTTTAAGTACTTCCAGCTAGTGAGGCCTTGTGCATCTGCAGCCACCCCTCTCCCTCCCCTCTGCAAAATTTAAAGGGATGACAGCTGACAGCTGGAGGGCCCTTTGTGGCTGCAGGTGTTCAGGCTTGGGGCTTCCCCCTCCAGCCAGCTGGCCAGCAGCAGGTTGAAGCCCAAAAAAGGGGGTAAAGCCACACCCGGCCCAGGGGTCAGGCAGCCCTAATCTCCACTGTGTTCTGCAATCAGGGAACCTCAAGGCCTTGATGGGGATAAAATGCACAAATAAATCAATCAAGAAGACCAGGTAAGAGATTCACTTGTAGGGATTTGCATAATGGTGGCTTTTAAACAATTACTTGTAGTAATTGTAACTAATGTGAAGTAGCTTGTATGTTTTATCTTTGAACAAGTTACATACATTGCACCTGATCCTTGAATAGCAAGCTAATTCTACTATACCTTATCAGAGAAATTTATGAAAACTTCCCTGAGCAGCTGTTGTAATTCCAAGAACTGTATTTGCTTTACTAAGAACCTTGTGGCAGAAAATCCAACTATTTATGCCAAAAAACCACACTTCTACAACATGGCCAGGAGCCAAAGGTATGCTCAGTGGGGTTTTCATATTTTCTCCTCCTTTGTACAGCAAACCCCACTCTCAAACAATATAAGAAGGCCCTTTCAAAAATTGTTTGTCATGATGTATGGGGGCTGTTGCCAAGAAAAACAAGTCCAAAGGCTTGTTAGGGAGAAGCTGTATAATACTTTGGATCCTGCCCTCTGTATACACTATCAAGTTTAGTACTGTGAACTCTACTGATATGATTATGGTCTGTGTTCTATGATGTCAACAGCATACAGGAAAAGGCTTTATAAAAATCTCCTTACATGTTCAGTTAGCTAGAAAGACTGTATTAAAGGAGCACTCTCAGGGCAATATAGACATAATTTGATGGCATTGAACTCTCCAGAGGGAAATGAAGTTTTCAATTTGCATACTGAAAACTCACAAACTTTTAAACGTTTTTAAAAGAATTTTGTCGAGGAGGTCCCGAAACTCTGTTCCGGTGCATTCCCCCAGAAAAAAAGCCCTGGATTTAATACATAAGAATTAGGTTACTAAGGAAAAATCAGCATTTGTTAATTTTACTGAAAGATTAAAAGTGTATCAGAGATTAACATACTGAGAAAGAAGCAGCAAGAAAGATTGGCTAATTATCAGCATTCATGTTGCTCATTAGTATGTGAAACAGATAAAGAAAATATTCACATTTGATAATTTTCTTCAAGTCTAGAATGAAAGACAAGATCCTGAAGCTGCTTATGTCAGCATGTGACATGAAAGATATTTCAAAGCAAGATAGTCCAGCTTGACCTCAAAGTCTGCCTCCTGAATTTTGAAAGCTTTGACCAAATAAGCAGGAAACATTTATTTGCAAGGATACTGTAAAGACTGTAACAGAAAATTTCACTTGAGGCAAGATTTAGTTCTTTTCCACCAATAGTATCTCCTTGATGCCTGGGACCCTCACCCCACAGAGTCTCACCCCAGAGTCTCCCATTTTTGGCATGGCTTGTCCCCCCATTTTGTTCATGTGTACACTTCATTGTGGACCTAGGATTGATAGAAGGAGCTCGAATTAAACTTTCATCAAAGGCAGTGAGCCATGCCAAGAAAGGAATGCAGGGCAGCAAATACCCATCCTAAGAGGGATTCAGTCGAGAATCATTTCTCTCCCAAGGACCTCAAAGCCTCGTAGCAGTAAGGATGGACATGAACTGGCTCACGAGCTAAAGTTCATGATGAGTTTTGGCCAGTTTGTGGTTTGTGAAGTCAAGTTTGTGGCAGGTCACCCAGCATGAACTTGCCATGAACTTTCAAACTGTTTTTGGAGGTTCGTGCCAGTTTGTGAGTGGAGACATTTCCATACAGACTGTCTCCACTCAATCAAAATGTTTACATAATTTAAAAGCAACAACTTGGAGAGTATGTTGAGGACCATCTGGGGAGGTCCCCTGAGAGTTTGATGTCTCTAGCTTGCACAGGATCCATTCTGTACCCTCCTGAACCTTGGCCATTTTGGCAGGCACAAGTTCAGGAGTCTATAGGATGGATTCTGTGCAAGCTAGAGACACTAAACTCGCAGACCTCCCCTGGATGCTCCTCTATATGGCCTCTGAGTTTGGTGTCTCTAGCCTGCACAGGATGTGTTCTATACACTCATGAACCTGCGACTTTCAAAACGACCACTGCAGTAATTTTGACAGGCACAGGTTCAGGTGTGTATGGAACAGATCCTGAGGATGCTAGAGACACCAAACTTGCAGGGATTCCCTGACTGACTCTCTTCTACCTGCCCTTTAAGATTGGTGAGGATTGGATTTACAGGGTCCAAGTTACAGCCCCCCAAAGAAGGTGGGGGGCTGTAACTTGAACCCTGTAAATCCAATCCTCACCAAACTTGGAGGGCAGTTAGAGGAGAGTCAGCTGGAGACTCCCTGCACGTTTGGTGTCTTTAGCACACTGGAGGGCCATTCTACCACCTCACAAACCGAACTAGTTTGTGATGTGGCTAAACATTCATGACAGTCCCTGGTTTCAAACAGGACACGCCACAAACCATGAACCAAACTGCATTTTTCTGGTTCATGCCCATCCCTATTTAGCAGATAATTTGACTTTAACTAATGACCCACATCCCCAAAACAATAAGCAACAGGATGATTCCAGCAATTTCCACCATGTTTCAATGACTGAACAAGGAAGATTCCCACCATTCCTCAATCGTGACAAGTACTTGGCCATAGATACTTACCTATCTAACTTCCAAATCTCCTCAAGAAAATGTTTTTGATACTCTCAAGGCATAAGGGGAAAACTCCCCTCCACAATTCGGACAAAGGATTTCTTTTCAGACCAGCTAATCTTCCAAAAAATTGATTTTTTATTACTCTTGCATTTTAATACCAACACCCTTCCCTTCCTCACTCTTGGCAAAAGGATATAAAGAATTACCCCTCAGCCCCAATTTTTGGTTTAGAACACATCTTGTTACCCCAGCCTCTCGGTTGACCTTTTACTTTTCTGCTCCACAGACCTGTCTCTGCATCCCCTTCCGCTTCCTGGTCAGTTTCACCTCCTGACACTGCTTTGGTGCCACTGAGGACACCCTCTCTTTCTCTCCAGGAGCAGGCTTATATGTTGTTTTCCTGTTTTTGTTTTATTCTCCAAGTAAGCAGGCATTTTTTGTAGAAAAAGGTTTTGTGTTGTATCTGTTACTGTGCATTTTCATTTCTGGAACTCCCCTTATGTTCTGCAAATTGCTTGACTTAATTTGGCCTCTTTTCAGTTTATTAAATAATAATTATTTCCCATTGTTCATATAAGTGTTGGCCTGTATCTGGACCTTGGTATACACAGGTTAGATCCCAAGTATTGAAGTAGCCAAAATACATGCGTTTGTATTGTGCTAGCAAGGGTATGCCTTTGCACATTATGGGCCCTTCACATGTATGCCAATTTGCCTAACATCCTAAAGTGCAAGACATTTATGAGTGGAAGAGCAGACAGCTCTACTTTATCCATTTGAGGCTGGAGTCCCTGTAGAACCTCTTAGGCCCCTGCCACACGGCAGGGAAAAGATGGGGCGAAGCGTGGCTTTTAAAAGCCGGGCCAAAAAAGAAACACCGCAGCGGGATCCCACGGATCCCGGTAGCAGCGCTCTGTTGCTCCCCGGCACGATCAGATGCCGGGGAGGAAGATACTAGTCGGAGGGGGAGGCTGCCGTACTGCGCATGCTCGAGCATGCACAGTATGGCAGGGGGCCGGGGATGCGACGGCGGCAAGACACGCCGCCGATCCCACGGCCAGGATGAAGCGGACCATCCGGATGAACCACCAAAGGTAGGTGGTTCATCTTTGACGCGCTTCATCGGGGGAAGGGCCGGATTGGAGGCGCGAGCGCGACGCCAGGCAAATGTTGGCGTGGGATCGCGCCCGTTTGCTGTGCTTCCAATCCGGCCCGCTCCCGGCCCAAACTGCCTCGTATGAACGGGGCCCTAAAATGCAAACTCCATATTTTGCTATGCTTGATTTTACTGGTTTTTTGATTGCACAGGTTGATGGGTATAGCCAGATGTGAGAATGACCTTGTGCTGCAAAAGTGAATGGCAAAGAACCTGATTCACAGCACAACAAATGTCTTCTTAAAAATCTCATCTGCACTTTTGGCCCTGTGTAACCATGGTCTCTCAGCTTCAATACAGAAATGTTGACCTACCTTGCAGAGTTGTCGTAATAACTGAGAATATATATGAACTACTAAGCATTTCTGTGTTCTAGAGTGTTCAAAGTATTTATCATAATTCATGATAATTACTTTCACTCCATTTAGAAAAAAGAGCAAGTCCTCAGATCTGACTGGCAGGAGTACGCTCCACAGAACTTTGAGTAGATGTGAACTTAGCTATCCTGTTTTCCTCCACCGTAAATTGGCAGTAGACCACAGATGAATACCAGAAGACTGCATTTTAAATGTATCATGATTCAGAGAAGCATAATTAGACTCTCGGAGGGATGTAACATATTTAAAATCAGACAGCACATTATTCATCATTCTCAAAATTGTGCAGTAACCAGCAGTGTCCTCAGCATCTTGAGGATATACGATCAGAGTTACTGGATGCATCATTGATTTGCTGGCCAAAATGGCCTATATTGTGATACACTGCCAGACACCTCCTGTGTTTGGAGAATTTAATGAAAGTTAGTAGACTTACCTTACAAATGAGCTTGAAAGGAGCCCAATGAATGCCACAGCTGCTCCAACAACAGCTACTTTTCGGCAGCCAAATATATTGGTAAATATACTGACTATGGGAGAACAGAAGAAGATCATTCCCATGGACAGGGAACTCACCCATGCTGTAGAAAAGATCAAGAAAATTAGTGAATTTGTTTAATATGCCAGAATTCAATGACATGATCACTCATTTACACCCTACTTTTCTCCCCTATGGGGACCGAAGTGGTTTACATCATTCTCCTGTCCTCACACCAACCCTATGAGGTAGGTTAGGCTAAGAATTTTATTATATTGATTATGTTGGTGTTATTTTATGCATTTTTAAGGCTGTAAATCACCCAGAGCCTGCTTATGAGGTTGGGTGATCCATAAATAAAATAAATAAAATTAAAAGAACATGTGACTGGCCAAAGGGCATCTAGCAAGCTTCCCAAGGCAGAGTAAGAATTCAAACCTTGGTCTCCCAGATTCTAGTCTGACACTCTAACCATCACATCACACCAGCTCTCTCATACAGTAAAACTGTTACTTTAGGGGAAATGCAGAAAGCCTCATGGCAAGAAAAACAAACTACTAACCAGCACTATGCTATTCTGCTAGTTATAAATGCCTGACACAGACTTGCTTTCAGTCTACAGTGTTAAACTGCAAGTTGCAATCAGACACATATGCTTATCCTGCACAAACAAGATAAGCATGCTTGCAAAAGCTCTTGAACTTTACAAAACAGAATAAGTATGACTGTTTGAAATATGTGACTACATTATTTCCATACCTCTAGCCTAGAAACATGAAACCTGCAATCACAACTAAAATCGTATGCAGAAGTTCAAGTTTCAAAAGAGTGCTGGGATAAGTTATAGACAGCATACTAAGCAAAACTAGTAAAAGAAAGCCAGTATGGTATAGTGGTTAGAATGTTAGGACTATGATCTGGGAGACCCATGGTCGAATCCCCACTCTGCCATGGAAGCTTACCTGGTGACCTTGAGCCAGTCACACACTCTCAGCCAAACCTACCTTATAAAGTTGTCATGAAGATAAAATGGAGGAGAGGAGAACATAAGCCATTTTGAAGCCCCATTGGGGAGAAAGATGGGATATAAAAGAAATAAAACCCTATTTTAAAATGATGTGTCACAATAACAGTTGAAGTATATGGTTCAAAGCAAAAGAATGGACCTGATAATGAGTTAACCAAGAAAAACAAATTAGGAATCAACCAAGAAAATATTCACTTGGCACTGAAGGAAAAAAAATACCTACTGGATCAAAGGAAGGTGAGACATGACAAAGACTTTGCTAGTGCTAACAGCAGAAAAAGTGTATTCCCATTGCTTTGGCCTGAGTTTTTGCTTAGCAAGAAATACAAATGGTTTTACATACCAGACATGTCTAACTCCAGTAGTACACATATTTTAAAAGATTTAAAACAGGGATGTTGAACTCATTTGTTATGAGGGCCGGATCTGACATAAATGAGACCTTGTTGGGCTGGGCCATGTGTGTCATAAAATGTAATGCCAGGTAGCGGAGATATAAACTTTATAAAGCACACAAACACAAAGTTTTTTTTTACTTAAAATAACAACATGCTTAAAACATTAGCTCTGTAAGCTGCAAACCTACTTTTGATTTATTGACATTCACCACAGAAATCTCATGCTCAGAGTTCTGAGTCTAGGTTAAAACATGAGATGGCTGAGTGATTAAGAGAGTCTGGCGATGCAAGGTATGATGCATCAGCAGCAGAACTGGAAGCAGGAGATGGCCAGTTCCACTGTAGGCCTGATGGAAGCCCTCCGGGGGACTGATCCGGCCCGCGGGCCACATGTTTGACACCCCTGATTTAAAACATAAATATGAATGTACAGGAAGTTGTTAAAAGGACTGTCTCTCCCAGTATGAACCTGTTCATAATTTCTCAGCAATGCCTTCTTCTGGCAGCACTGTCAACTCCTGCCCTCTAGTCCTGAGGTTCTGCAGCAGGGCTTTTCTGTCGAATGGCCTTCTAAGAAGGCACCTAACCCTCCTACTTTTTAGAAATTTTACAAAACAGATTTGGAATTGTTTGGGATTTTGATCTTTGCTTTTAATGTTAGTTACTGATATGACTTTTTAAAGAAGCAAAGATTACACTGTAATGTGCTTGTGTCTTTTTTCGGGGGAAGAAAGATAGGGCAGAAGAATTTTAAACACAAGAATGTAACTAAAAAGCAAATTTATTCCTAAATTGATTATATAAAAGGGTATCTTTGTCTACCCACATCCATAATACAAAATCTTTAATCTACGGGTGTATTAAATGAAACCCACTTCAAAAAAGGTTGTGCTGTAAATACAATTTTGTTATAAAAAATTCTCAGAACAAAATATTGTCTTTCCAAAACAAATGTCTTACATGGACAAATTAGCAATGTAATATGGCTCCCCAGGGACACTTCAGGACAAACAAAAAAACAGCACAAGAGAGAAAGCTTAAGCCCCCTTTCTCCATGATTCCAAACTGACTTGGACTCACACGCTGCTGGGAATTAAGTTCTGACCATACAACCTCCAGAGCACGTCTGCAACAGGAGCCAAAGTGAGACGAAGGATTTATCGTCCCCCTTTCTCACTGAGACTAAAGGCAGATTCCCATGACATAAAATAATATAATCAGACAGCATAAGATATCCAACAGTGCAATAGAACTAGAATTACAAGAGTAAGAAAAACAATGCAAAAGAAAAAATTATCAGTCATGATACAACAATGCAGAAAAGAATTATAAAGTAGGAAAAACACTGGAATACATAACACTTTTTAAAAGAAGTGCCTTCTGAAACATTCTATTATACTACGCCCCTACTCCTTTTATAAAAATGCCCTCCTGAACAATTTCGTTCTACACAGATCTACAGAATGATAATGTGTGGGAGCCATCCTGGCATCCTAAGGCAGGCCATTCCACAAGGTGGGAGTCACAACAGAGAAAGCAGCTATCAATTTTACTCTGTTACATGGTGGCGCCTTCAGAAGCTGTTGCAACAGAGCATAGGAGGAGGGGTGGCCTTCAGATACATGGGTCCAAGCCCATGAAAGGCTTTGTAGGCAATACCTAGTACCCTGAACCAGGCCCGTAGCCAGAAAATGTTTATTGGGGGGGGGCAGATGAATATAGTGGTGGTGAACACATAATTCTTTACTTTATTTATACTTGATAATTTATTTACCATTTTTTTACTTGAGCCCCAAGGTGGATCACAAAGAATATAACAGTGTAATCGAATAGCATGAGAGACCTAATAAGGAATAAAAAGATCTTCCAGAATTAGAAGTAATCATCGGGGTAGAGAGATCACCTCCCCTGGAGAAAATGGCTATTTCAGAGGATAGACTAGGGTTTTATACCTGATTTATGACACTCCCCCACCTTCACCAGGCTCTATCAGTCAAATCTCCATGAATTTCCCAATGTGGGGTTGGCAACCCTAGCGAGCATGTGCACACACACCTTTTCTTCACAGCTACAGCCTGCCCGGCATGCAGTGGAAGGGTGGCTTTTTTGCTTCACGCAGATGAGAAGGGAAGCTGGGGAGGCTCCCCTTTATCGATACAGAGAGTGATTCCCCCCTCTCACTGAACCCAGTTAAAAGAGAAGACAAAATTGTGCACCACTGTGGCTATGGGCCTGCCCTGAACTGTACTTGGGAACTGACAGGTAGACAACAGAGTGACTACAAAATGTGTGTTTCACCTAGGTTCAGACAATACTCAAGCTGTGGCATTCTGTACCAAGTGGAGTTTCCACGCTAACTTCAAGGACAGACCCATATAGAATACATTACAACAGTCTAGTCACTATGGTGATTTGGCTCCTAAAACTAAAACTTTGTGTAAGCAGAGAGCTCTAGATAAAAAGGCAAGATACATATACCCAGGGCTCTCGTCGGGGGGGAGCGCTCCGGTACTGCGCTCCGGAAGAGAACCTCTAGGGGGCGGGGCGGTCACGTGGTGAAGCCCCGCCCCCTTCTTCACCCCGCCCTCTGCTTCGATCCTCATTCCGTTGGAGAACGAGGACGAAGCAGGAGGGTAAGTAGCCTTCCCCGGCCTTGCCTTCCTCCCCCCCCCTTGATCCCTCTCCCGGCCACATGCAGCGGCTGGGAAGAGAGCCCAGGGCCCCTTTTTACCCTTCCCAGTGGAGCGCGAAGGCGCTCCGCTGGGAGAAATCTCCCCCACCCCCCCACA